TCATACTACATCATCATATTGTTATACATGTATGTAATAAAATGCTCCGCAGGGCGCAGCTTGATACGACCGCAGAGGTCGAACCCTGAACAGTTGGGGCAAGTATGGACACAACATTCAAGCTTGATACAGCTCTGAATTTGGATTGTGATTAAATATTTGACACAGCATAGGTTTCTGACACAGAATGAATGTGGTCTAAGAACTTAAAAATTTTAAATTGGACATTCACCTATTATGGTCCAATATCCAAAATCTAAATACATGGTTAGATTCAGCATATCAAAGAACCCCAAGAATTCAATTTTTGATGAAATCAAACAAAGTTTAATTTTGGACCCTTTTGATCTCAATGTGGACAAAGTTGATAACGGGGCCCAAAAATCAAAAATCTAAATACATAGTTAGATTCAGCATATCAAAGAACCCCATATATTCAATTTTTGTTGAAATCAAATAAAGTTTAATTTTGGACCCCGATTTGGACCAACTTGAAAACTGGGCCCATAATCAAAAATCTAAACACATGTTTAGATTCAGCATATCAAAGAACCCTAAAAATTCAATTTTTGTTAAAATCAAACTAAGTTTAATTTTGGACCCTTTGGACCTTTATGTAGACCAATTTGAAAATGGAACCAAAAATTAAGAATCTAAATACACGGTTAGATTCGGCATATCAAAGAACCCCAATAATTCAATTTTTGATGAAATCAAACAAAGTTAAATTTTGGACCCTTTGGACCTCAATGTGGACCAATTTAAAAACGGGGCCCAAAATCCAAAAACTTAATACACCGTTATATTCAGCATATGAAAGAACCCCATATATTCAATTTTTGTTGAAATCAAACAAAGTTAAATTTTGGACCCCGATTTGGACCAACTTGAAAACTGGGCCCATAATCAAAAATCTAAATACATGGTTAGATTCAGCATATCAAAGAACCCCATATATTCAATTTTTGTTGAAATCAAATAAAGTTTAATTTTGGACCCCGATTTGGACCAACTTGAAAACTGGGCCCATAATCAAAAATCTAAATACATGGTTAGATTCAGCATATCAAAGAACCCCATATATTCAATTTTTGTTGAAATCAAACTAAGTTTAATTTTGGACCCTTTGGACCTTTATGTAGACCAATTTGAAAACGGAACCAAAAATTAAGAATCTAAATACACGGTTAGATTCGGCATATCACAGAACCCCAATAATTCAATTTTTGATGAAATCAAACAAAGTTAAATTTTGGACCCTTTGGACCTCAATGTGGACCAATTTAAAAACAGGGCCCAAAATCCAAAAACTTAATACATGGTTAGATTCAGCATATTAAAGAACCCCAAGAATTCAAGAATAAAACCCCATTGAAATTGATCAAGAAATAAGCAATTTATACAAAGTATATTCTTTTGCACAATACTGTGCAATTGAATATTTCTTGCTATTGCGCAATACTGTACAATTGACAATTTCTTGCTATTGCGCAATATTGTGCTATTGGATATTTCTTGCTATTGCGCAATACTGTGCAATTGAAGATTTCTTGCTATTGCGCAATACTGTGCAATTGAAGATTTCTTGCTATTGTGCAATACTGTGCAATTGAAAATTTCTTGCTATTGCACAATACTTATTGTATAATAATTTACACATCCTGTTTGGTGTGTATTTCCTACCATATCATTATTATTTGCTTTTAAATATAAATCAGAAATAACCAACTTAAAATGGAAAATTTTAAAAGAAAAAAAAAAGGAAAAAAAGAAAAAAAAAAGAAACCCCCCCCCCCCCAAATTTTTTGAACCCCCTTATGATTCATCACCCCCAAACTCAATCCCAGCCTTCCCTTTGTGGTATGGTATCTTGCAGTACAATTTCAGAGAGATCCATACAATTGAACACAAGTTATTGTCTGGAAACTAGAAAAATGCTTATTTTTGGCCCCTTTTTGGCCCCCAATTCCTAAACGTTTCGGGCAATTACCCCCAAACTCAATTCCAGCTTTCCCTTTGTGATATGGAACCTTGTAGTACAATTTAAGAAATATCCAAACACTTACACACAAGTTATTGTCATGAAACTAGAAAAATGCTTGTTTTTTGCCCCTTTTTTGGCCCCTTATCTTAAAATTTTGAGGCAATTACCCCCAAAATCAATTACAGCCTTCCCTATGTGATATGGAACCTTGTGGTACAATGTCAGAGAGATCCATACACTTACACACAAGTTATTGTCTGGAAGTTACAAAAATGCTTATTTTTGGCCCCTTTTTGGCCCCTAATTCCTTAACTGTTGGTACCATAACCCCCAAAATCAATCCCAACCTTCCTTTCATGGTATTGAACCTTATGGTAAAATTTCATGGAGATCCATTAACTTAAACTAAAGTTAGAGTGCGAAAACTAATGTGTCTTCGGACGACGACGACGACGACGACGCCAACGTCATACCAATATACGACCAAAAAATTTTCAATTTTTGCGGTCGTATAAAAATTATGTACATGTATACTTTGTAAACGTAAAGAAGACAAATGAAGTTGAACACAAGATATTTATTTGCATTTTTATCCGTATACATGTAGTCTCTGCACAACTGCCACTTCTGTTTCAAATTCAATAGATTGAATGCGGAGTCTTGTATTTATTCTTAGTTCAATGATGTCACCATCACTTACACTAAAATCGCATACACATGTACATCAAGTTTGGCATATGAACTATGATATTTGAACTACAATAATGTGGTGTTTTCACAGTCAGGATAAGCACATGTCATTTTCTCTCTTACAAAACCATTTTTTAGTATCACATTGATAGTAGTACATGTAATCGATCCACTACATGACTGTGCAGTAACATTTGAAAAAAGTCATCACTAATAGTTGTTCCTGTCTGCCAGGGAATCTTTTTTTCAATCAGAAAGGCTAGGGAGTCCTACATTCAGCACATGTATGATATTACATCTCTTGTATGCTGCACTGTTAGGTAAATTAGATCAACATCTTTGTTCTTTTATAACATGCAGGATCCTGTTAAAAAAAAATGCTGTCAGATACTGAATGTAAATATACATGTATATAAACTTGTAAATGTCATCAAAGTGGTGGAAATAATGAAAAAAACAATTTATATACACAAAACCGGTATGTCTTGGGAAAGTAATTCCTGTGATCAATGGTGATGGGTACATTTGTTCTTTAAAGATGGACAATTTTATAAACTGTAGCCATGGACAGGTGCCTGTCTTTATATTGAAGAGAATGAAAATGGCCGACAGCTTGAATGGTCATTTTTAATTGTAAATTGCATCAAAGCTGGTGAAAATATGGAAAAAACAACTGTTATACACAAATCCAGTATGTCATAAGAAAGTAATTCATGTGCTGGGAATAATTATTCTCTAAAGATGGAAAAGTTTATTGACTGTAGACATGGACAGGGGCCTGTCTTTATATTGAAGAGAATGAAAATGGCTGACAAGCTTGTATGGTCATTTTTAATTGTAAATTGCATCAAAGCTGGTGAAAATATGGAAAAAACAACTGTTATACACAAATCCAGTATGTCATAAGAAAGTAATTCATGTGCTGGGAATAATTATTCTCTAAAGATGGAAAAGTTTATTGACTGTAGACATGGACAGGGGCCTGTCTTTATATTGAAGAGAATGAAAATGGCCGACAGCTTGAATGGTCATTTTTAATTGTAAATTGCATCAAAGTGGGTGAAAATATGTAAAAAACAACTGTTATACACAAATCCAGTATGTCATAAGAAAGTAATTCATGTGCTGGGAATAATTATTCTCTAAAGATGGAAAAGTTTATTGACTGTAGACATGGACAGGGGCCTGTCTTTATATTGAAGAGAATGAAAATGGCCGACAGCTTGAATGGTCATTTTTAATTGTAAATTGCATCAAAGTGGGTGATTTAATGAAAAATTCAACATATTTACACAAAACCAGTATGTCTTGGGAAAAGTGATTCATCTCATAAATGGTTTTATTCCTTTTCGAATGAAAAGGTTTTAATAAAAAATACGTCCGTGTAAAAAATTTTCATAACGTCCATGTCGGCCAAGCTTTCCCCTTATTATTGACCACAATAAAACGTTAATCGTCACAATATTTTAACTAACAATTACTACAAACTGAATAAAACAAGGTAAATAATTTACGAAATTGAAATATATACTTACATTATGCTGTTTTGAAAAGCTTGATGTAAAATAAAAATCGAAGCGGTGGTGAACTTGTCATGATCAGATGCAAAATGGCGATCTCGTTAAAGTCTCGTGTGATGCGTGTTTTTAGTTGGATTTCGCTGACCACTGTTACAGTTGCCAATCTCTGTGTATATATATGTCTCTGTTTATATAAATCTTTTAAAAAACGTCAAAAGCAGTGTTGTATCATCATCATTTTAAGCTTATTTGACATCTTAGTCCATGTTCACGATGTTTCTTGATAATGAAGAATCATTGCTTATCCGCCATTTTTTTTTTCATTTCTAAATCTTGGAAAGTTTTTTTGTAAATTTTCAATAATTTTTATATCAAAAGTATTTTTCTGATAATTAATGTTAAACAGAGACTTGGAATCTGTAATCTGGGAATAGTATACTAACAATATTTAATGTCCCAGATGTAATATAGTCTTAGGAATAATCTAGTCAATATTATATTTAATGTATTATGTCCAAAATATTGTCTTTCAAGCAATGTCACGTTCGGGTGTTTTCACTTAGGTCCGCGTGTCTTTCAACATATTTTTGTGTGTTTTCTTTGAGGTCCGCGTGTCTTTTTATAGTTTTATGAGTTTTCGCATTTCTAACATTGTATAGAATAATTTTGGAAGAAACTATAATGTTTTCTGTTTATGTTTAGTCAATATTTTGAAATGAACTATAAACTAAACCCGCCAGCTTTTCGTCATCCTGACAGTGTTTTTTGAACCGCACGTTTCTAGATAGGCGAATCTAGATCAAGACGAAGCTTGTAAAAACGTGTGTTTTCATATTCACTTCCAGAGAAGAATATAGATTTGCAATCACTTTCTGCACGCTATCAATTTTCGATACAAGATTTTGATAATGGTAAGAATAAATTATATATATCTGTTCATTACGGCATCATTTTATTATTTTTAGCAGCATAAACTCATGTGATTATCGGAAGCCTTGTAACTTTGTTTATCTCAATATCTGTTTATCTACTTCCTTAGTGGAAATATATCAATCATATTACAGATGATTTATGGAAAACAGATGAACAGATACATTATATTAAAATTAATACGCATTTTTTATTTATATTGTAAATGTTGATTTTAGCGCTAAACTTGTGTTTAACATGTTTAATGTCAGACTTCCAAATTCATTAGTGTTGTACAGATGCATATGGGGGACACATAAACAGATGAAGAAGACTTATAATTCCTTTTGGGATTCTGTGTCTGGAGTGATTTTCTGATTTGGTCAGCCACGTTCTATAGACAAAGAATTCCGAAAAGGATTAGAAGTAGACCAGTTACTCAACTTACTGTCACATGGCATTCTATTCATTGAAACATAAGTTGCATACTAAATGTATATAGCAACTTTAAACACACACATTGACATGGTGACAAAATTATATGGTTAAGTAATCTTACTTTCAAAAAATCCATTTTCTTAAATACTTTGGGACCAATCACCGAAATGAGCATGATGAGTTATAATATCTTATGATATGGGACATTTTACAGTGCTAAAAGTTAATATTTTGAATTTCGACCAAAATAGTGAAAAAAAAAACCAACATTTTTACTTTTGAGATAAAGACCAAAATATATATGTAGAGCTCTCTTTTTCTTGCCTCCCTTCCTTTCTTAAATTGTCTTGCTGAACCTTAATGTAACACATCTTATGGATACATTTGGTTAACGGTAAGCACTGCATATGTTAGGTTAAGTCCAAACCTGTTTTTTAGGCACTGAAAACAGGTTTGGGGAAGATCCTCATTATTTGGTTTATGGGTATTGAACTCCAAATCAGGTATCAATTTATGGTATCAGATAAGCGTTTGAATTTTTTGTTTATAATAGATATCATGATGCACACATCCATGTAAATAGCAACAAACTCTCCTTTTTAGACCATTATTCTTAAAAGAACTGCACAAAAGTTAACAGTCGCCAAAATTTATATTTTTTAAAGGTCATTAACTTTTATCCTGATGATAATTTAGTCATTATGTCTTGAGGCAAAATATGTTACCTTTACAACATTTGTGGCAATATGACAGCAAATATCATGAAATCCAGAATTTTAATCAATGAATATTGATACCTATTTTGGGATATAATACCTGGTAATAGGGATAATTCCCAGTTATGAGGATAGTCCCCAACCTGGTAAAAGTCCAAAACATTTCCGTATATGAATATATGTTACATATTTCTTTCAAAAATTATATAATTTTATCTCCAATGTACCTTCCTACCTACCCTATTTTTTCTGTAAGTAAGCAGATAAAAAAAGTACTTTTTTTAACCTAGTAAATTTAAAATATGACAATTCAAAGCATGCATGGCATAAGCTACTCTGAATTCATTTTCCTCATTCATTGTACATCGTAAGGCTGAACAAAATGTGTTTTTCATGTAGTAGGCTGATCATCATTTCGAGGGAGCAGGATGTTATGCCAACCAACTGCAGTTTTGTTTTTGCTATTCAAAAACAATTTAATCTAATAACTTTGAAGTTTGATCAAAAAAATATGTATCGTTATTAAACTTTAATTTGGGTAAAAGCATAAACAAACTGTACACTGAAGTGTAAAAATTTACAGTAATGTATTGTAATTTTTACCATTTTCTAAAAGAATGTACACATTGGATGGTGTCTAGAAAACATATATTTGTACAGTGATACTACAGAAGCATATATATATCACTCAGAAAAATGATTATAGCCCAAAATGAATAAAATTGTTTACATTTGAAGATGCATAATTAGATACTTCGTTAGAATTCCTTTGTTATATTTGTATGTACCTGTAAATACAGTTTCTGTTAATTGATTTAAATTACATAATTTTGCTAAAAATATAACTGTTTTAATGGAATGTGATGAAGATCATGAAAATTCAATATATTTCTTGTTGAATTTTATTTGATTATGGTTATACATCTTCCTTTCCTTTAAAAAATTTGTATACCTCTGCCGCTAGGTGAAGGGGGCATTCAGTGTTGCCCATGACCGTCTGTCCTTCGTCCATCCCAAAAATATTTTCACATATATATATATTATAAGCAAGCTTGAGCGGGGGCATTTTGTGTCACCAGACAAGTTCTTCTTTTATTTTTTATAAGTAGCATATATATATATATTTGATAGAATAAATTAACTGTTATGTTGGGTGTACATTTATCGTAAGCAAATCCTTGTATTGCAAAAATGTTGAGCTGTTGTGATGATAAAACATATTTCCCTTGTTAAGGTTTAGGATAGATTGTTAAATAAATATCTACTATCATGAGAATGAAGCCCCTATAGGCAACTTTTTAAAAGTTGACAAAATAATCTCTCCAAAAGTTTCTGAGTTTGTATAAAAGACAGTGGAAACAATGGGCCAAAATTTGGCTTTAAGATCTGATATTTATCTGTAAACCTCTTAATGAAGTACATTTGTAATTACTGTTGTTTAATTTAAATCTCTATCGTGTTTTAGGTGCTTATTACCTGTGTATTTAGGAGAAGCCATACTTAAAGGAACACAATCTTTGCCACCTATCTACCTGTGTACATTTTTTTTGTAATTGTCAAGTGTTTCCCAAAATAGCATGTTACTTATATAATGACCTTTAATTGTATTCGGGGTTTCTCTGACTTTAATCAACGTACATGCAGGTCAAGGGTAGATAAGATGAAAATACAAACATTGTGATAATTTGAATGTAATAGTTATTTTCAATAATAGTTTTATACCAGGAGATAAAAAAAAGAACTGAACAGGAGACCAGTAGTGAATGGCTTCTGTATTTTACCTCCTACCAGAATCTCCTAGTACAATGTATATGATTTGTGGTTTTTGGCCAAGACAAGTCCTCATTTATGAAGTATTTCTAAATCAGAAGGGTACAGGTTAAAATTTCTTCTGGACATTATGGTCAGTACTTCAAAAACCATGAAAACATGGAAAAGGAGAATTTCAGATTTAGATATTAAATAAAACATCGTCATTCAAACATTATTTACTTGATAGTTTTTAACTCCCAAGTGGAGATAACTCAATATTATTGAAATGCCAGAACTGTCTTTATTGAAAAAAAAACTTTACTTTATTTTATTAGCGAAAGCTAAATAACAGACACATGCAATTTAACATTCCACTGAAATTTTCTCTATTATCACAAATGTGTGGTTTGTCCAAATATATATATTGATTGCAGATTTAAGCTATAATTTCAAAATAAGTTTATTTTTACAAGTACTTTCTCTGTAAGAGTTAACACAATATATAAATTAACTAAAACATGTATTAAGTACCTTTTTTGTGCAGTTTAAGAAAGTATTAACGAAAAAATTGTATAAAATTGAAAGGCAAAAAACTCAACAGGTAGGACATGACCCTGAAAAAAAACGCACAATTTTAATTAAAAAAAAAATGTCGTACAGTATTACTTGATCTGAACAACACCTGTTCACAGGTCTCAGGTGTGTGTCACAGTGTGTGTCATCTGTTGTAAACCTGCTAATTATTTATAATCATTGATTAGTATAAACACCATACAGAAATCAAAATATTGATGTATTGACTATTGACCATGTTGACAACTCAAGTCTCACAGAATTGATGCATGAAAAGTGAAGAAGTATTGTAATGCTCAATAGATAATGGATTTATTCTGCCTTGACATGTTTTAATATTTGTTTCTAATAATAGTAAAATAATGCTTTATTGATCATCTGTGTAATTTATAGCTTGATATTTTATTGGAATGAAACATTTTCTTGTTCCATTTTGAATGTTTTCAATGCAGATGGAGTTTCAATTTCTCAATACTGACATTTTGAGAGATAGTTTGTCTTGATTTTGTCTTGATTACTGAATTTTGGGCATTAGGACTTGACTGACATGACTGAAGTAATATGTAATATTAAGTATCCTGTACATTTATACATATTATTTAGTGGTCATGTTTGGCTTATTTCCCTTGTAAGTCCCTAGTCACTGTTATTGTCAGCCTCCTAATACTTTGAAAAATTCTTGCAAATTTGAACTATTTTTTGGCAAATGTTCAGTTCAATTTGAATTCTATCTTGAGCAATTAAGAATTTTTAAGGACTTAAAATCAATATTGCTTGTAATGGTCATGTGGCTCAGTAGAAACAGCTTGCTCAAGATGGCTTAACCTTATATTGGCCTGAGTTCCAACTGACCAATTTTGATTTAATTACTGATATACATGATACATCTAAATAAAAATAAAAGAGCTTGTCATGAAATTAAAAGGAATTTTGGGGGTTCATATCTTATCATTACTTATAAGTTTACAAAAAAAAATGTATTTAGACACTACGCTACTCCTTGGTTAGAGATTGAGCTAAATGTTTCATCCTTAATAAGACTGTTTATAACCATTTCGAGGCTATAGTAGCATAGCAACACCTTGTGCTCCATTTACCACCATTAAGATTCGACAATTTTGTGAGAGTTTAAAATGTATAATAAGTGAAGAACAACCTTGTTTCAGGGTACAGGAGTACTATAGTTAACAATTTGTCCGTCTGTCTGTCTTTCAAAAAGTTTGGAGAAACATGATTTTGTGCTAGGATTTCAACAAAAATAGATATATATGTATATATATGATAAATGTGCTTCTTCAAATTGATTCACAGTATCCCAAAATAACAGTCTATAGAATTTTCAAAATGGCAGCTAAAATACCTCGTACCTAATAGTGAAATTGCTTGGATTTCCAGGACATTAGCTATCTTCATGTATAGAACATATCCTGAAAATATTAAATCCCTGTGTCAGCATGTATTTGTCTGCTGCTATTTTAAAAATATTTGCCAAAATATGTTAACATATAAAGTGCTCAGATTTCAATGAAATTTGGTATATAAGTAGAATATGATATTTTGATGGATTGATTTCTGGTAAACAGTTATCCGTAGGCTCCCATTTCCCAAGTATCTGTATTTCTCCATTTTCTATTTGACATGGTTTTAAAATTGTTACGTAAGAACTAAATAAAAAGTATGTATTTCCTTAGGCACTCAATTTCATGTTTGGTATGTAACACGAAACCCATGAAAATTGACACCCCTGGAACATGTATTGCTTTGTGTGCATCAGTATTAATTTTTTATTTCTGAGCCTTAAACAAAATTGGGCTAGAGAAGCCTTGCTGACATGTCAGTTTTTAGGTGGTGTGAAAATGATAACATTTCCCCACAGTATAATTTGATTTCAATTTTCCTACATTTTTTTTTCAGGAATTGAAGCCGTGATATGATTACCAGAGACTGTAACCATGGAAAATACACAAAATATTGCTCTAACACCAGTTACCAACCCTTCACCTGGACAGGTGACAAATTATAATGTTAAACCATATCATATGCAGCCGGTCCAGACTAGCGGTGGGCGTGACCTGGCTTCTGATTTAGTATGGCAGCGTGACCCAGACTGTTCTAGGGATCCTAATGTTGGTAACCATGGTAATCCAATGATGGTTTCACAAGGGGTATGTAAACATAAACAATTCATGCAAACCATTGATTGTTGTCACTTTATATTTTTTGCACTGGATTTTACAAGAACATGTTTGAGGCAGATAATGTGTGGAAGTGATTTTTTCAAGGTAACCTTACTTAGTAAAAGTAGTATATATGCATCTACTACCCAGATTTGACTATGGTTCCTACTGAAATTAAACTCAGCCACTTAGACTGAAAGTTTGCTACTGATATATAATATGGATTAGCAATTTAGCTGTAATTAGCAGCATAACCTTCAAAGTTGTCAGAGTAAGCAATTTTTAACCAGCTGTAAATTGTACATTTGACAGTGTGATGATATAAAATTGACCTTATTTTGACCTTTATGGTTGCATATTCAAGATGAGCATGTGATATAAATATGATCCCTGCTTAGAATGACACTGAGTAGGATTTTATTTTGCTAGTTCACAAGGTACATTTGTAACTGTGAAGGATGACATATCATACCACCTGGACATATCAGTCTGACTCAGAGCCAACCAGGTTTTGTTCATACACCTAAAATGCTGCCTGCTTGTACACTGTAGCATCACCACCGGATATAGGTACCCCCGTAGCAAAGAAACAACGATAGCAAAAAGTACCTAGTCTAATCCCTGTACAGTAAACAACTATTTGCCGCTATTCGCCGTACAATTTATCCGCTTTATGTACATGAATTTCTCTGCGTAAGCAATAGCTGTTTCGAAATATAGGGTTGTTCAAGCTTAAATATGATATACCTTTGTTCTACGAAAAAGTCAAATGAATAGTTGAAGGATTAATGTGTTTTAACCAGTTTGAACTCATCACATGCTTGGTTGAACATGTACCCCCCTATCCCATTCTGACGATTTGAAGAGAGAGAAAGCTATTTAAGGATCAAAATCAGCCCTAAATGGTAGCTACATTATTAAGAATCAGTATCGCAAAACTTTAATTGTAAGCAAAACGTAAAATATATTGAAAATAAGAAGAATTTGACCTTACCTGACTCCACATTTGTTTTTTCCATCACTTCGGGGGTACCTTTATCCGGTGGTGATGCTACACAGTGTTATAGAAGAAGTAGCAGAAGTATTTGTTCTAATCCTGTCAGGGTTTGAAACCACGATTTTCCACCGAAAACTAACAATCCTGGTCAATTAAGATTGCAGTCGAGTGCACCTGCCATGTGCAGGATTCGAACTCTCAACCTCAGTGATCACAGTGTAGTGATACAGTAGTTCAGCTACTTAGACCACTTAGCCACCAAGGCCCCACTGAGCACTGAGGCATATAGAAAACTGATGTCAATTTCATTTCCATTGGATGTTAAGAATAATTTCAACATACTTCATCTCTTCTATACTGGCTAATAACAACTTTAAAAAAAAGAAATACACCAGTTGATCAGTTTGAAGAAATAAGATTAAACTTGAAAAGTATTTTTGAAATTGATCTTGTAAAAGGATAACCCCTTTTGGGTGAGCAGAGTAATATACAGAACTAGGGATTTAACATTTAAAGAGTCTACTTCAGTTGAAGAATTTGTATACGATTTCAAGAATGTTTACTGTAACAACATGTGGAAAATAAGTTGATTTGTTGAAGGACAATACATAACACAGATGTCAGTGAAGAAATGGTGTCTAATGATTATTGTGAGTGTATTTTTTGTTGTATTCTCACTTTGTCAAAGTGTGTAATAACATATAATTTTATAAGGTTTGTTTTCTAGAGGTTAAGTTTAGCATACATAGTATATCAATATTTGAATTGTATTTTAGGTACATATTCCAGGAAACCAGACACAAATGATGCCAGTCAATCAACCACATGGTGTTCATCAGATGCAGGGAGTAACAATGAATCAGCAACAAACAGTTCCAGTAAACCATTCGCCATCAGGGTACCCTGTTCCTAATGTTTCCAATGCTCTACCTCATAATCCTGCAGGTTACCAGTATCAGGGGCAGACAACTTCTGTCCCGACTGCCTCTGGCGACCATGCTCACGTTAGTATGGCTCCGACGTTTCAGATGCCACAAGGAAATGTTTATCCTGGGATGAGACCACAAGGTGTAGTTAACTATTTGCCTGTCACAAGTCATCAACAACTCATGATGGATACTGACGGAAATAGAATTCAACAAAATACCATGATGCAACAGAACATGGGATTGACAGGATTTCAGATGCCTCAAAATATGGTTCCTGTACAATACAATCCAAATTTTGTACAGGGAGGTAATATGAATGGCAACGCACAGTATATGAATATGCGTCCACCTACAACAACAGTTCAGCATCAACCTCAGCATCAACCCCAACAAGCTAATTACAATTATCCACGTCTTGTACCATATAATCAGCAATTAATGAACGCTCCAAGAACACAATATAACAACCCTAGACCTCCAGTGGTTCAAAAGCCTACTTTGAATATAATGGCAGCCAACCAAGTAGCTCAAAAACCAACAAATCTTAATATATCATCTGGTACTCAAGTTTCTTCACCAGACATGGGCTATCCAACTGTCCAATCACCAACTGTCGCTTCACCAGGGACAGAAAGTGTTAAATCACCAACATATGTTTTTATGTGTAATAAATGTAACTATGTGACACCACACCGCAGCTCATTTAAAACTCACTACAGTAGTCATATACAATATAAACCTTATCAATGTGCCTACTGCGATCACGCTACCATTATGAAACAGCCAATGCAAAAACATGTTAAAATGAAACATGCTATAGAGGACTCCGAGGGATTCATATATGAAAGTGATTCAAAAAAAGAAAATATCATAGAATTCTTCAGCAATCAATGTAGGTCAACTATGAATTTGGAAGAAGCTAAAAAATACCTGGATAAATATGAATCTGGTGAAAAACTGAAGAGTGGTCCAGCAAAGCGTAAATTGTCTATGGACGAAAGAGATAAGGATTCTTCAAAGAGAAAAAGGTCTTGGCCAGAAGTTGGGGATGATAGTAATCAAAGCGATGCTTCATTAGGTCCATCAAGATCGTCACTTAGTCCAAGAAAACTGACACATTGGAAGCAAGGTGTAACATTTGAACATCACAATCAGGAAACAAAAACAAAAGTAGGTCGTGGTCGATCCAAAACTTTTTCCGGTTTTGCAAAACAGAAAAAATTCATTACTTCAAGTGTTATGAAATGTCCATTTTGTGAATTCAAATCTGGATCACAGAAAGGTTTGAAAAGGCATTGTAATTGGCGGCATCTAGAGAAAAGATATAGATGTAACAATTGTATCTTTTCTACCTTCTTTCTAGAGGAGATGGAAGTACATATCCAAAGTGATCATTGTGAAAGTTACCAGTTACATAGCAATGAAAGAAGTAAATCTCCCGAAAAAACTGTTGGGAGACCAAGAAAGAATGTATCCAGTGCAGAAGAGACTACCCCTAAAACAGTTACCATTGACAGGTTTTCTGAAGAAAATGCAGATGAAAGTGGTAACGATGACATGCAGTTGAATTGTCCACACTGCAATTTTTCTTCAAATCCATTTGCCCTGAAGAGACACTTGTTCTTCTATCACAAAGAGTGTGATTGGAAATGTAAGATTTGTGGATTTATTTCTGACAGTAAAAAAGAACTTGTACGACATTCCAATAAGGCACATCCAAATACTCAACCAAACATTGTTCAAACATTTGCCGATATTTCTTCTCTGTTACCAGACAATGCTTCAGAGCAAGAGAAGGGAACTCCCCCTGATAAAGATATTGACGAAAATGAAAAGGTAGTGAGTAAACATAAATTAATTGACAGGGATTATATCAAAACAGGCAAGAAACGACTGGTGTTAGGGAAAAAACGAGTTTCTAAGATAATGAATGATTCCAGTGGCGATGACAAAATACAAATTATGAAAATGTTGAATGAAAGAAAGGGACAGAAACGTGGTAGAAAAAGAGAGGAAAAAAAGAGTGGTAAGAAAAATAGGCATTATTCCAGTTAAAGGTCATGATCTTGTGAAATTTGTACCAGTGTACTGTTTTAGTAACTTCTGTTGCTAAGGATTTTAGAATAATTACATGTATGCATTTATAAATGACTTATATGAATCGAAAAAAGATATGGGCCATACATCAATAAGACACCAACTCAACAATATAATAAAACCAATTAGGGCAACAACATGTATATGATTAACAAAGTGTTTATAAAGTGAAATTTTGAAAATACAGGTAAAAAAGAGAAATTAAATGTGATGTCATCTGTTGGATTGAAAAGTCGAATCCTGAAATCTGAAAATACCAAACAATTTTTATTGCTATTCTTTATCATGTAGATTCAAATCCATAATGTCATTAAACTAAAAAGTATAACCTCTCAGCCTGTTTTTGTATCTTCTTTGTTTTAACTGTTTTGTTTCTGTGTCTGTGGCAGCGTTAACAATGAATTAGTTTGCGATAGGTGAATGATATTTGGTATGTAGTTGTATTAGTATTGGCACATCTCATTTTACAAAAAAGTAACAGTTTATATTTACATATGAATAAATTGTATATCTTTGGTTTCTAAATTTCAGATCAGAACTCGTATGTTGTGCGTCCAAAGAAACTAAAGATTGCCAGAATAGGATTTAGTTGTGTATACTGTACCTATGCTGCCCCTCTCAGGCATCAGTTACGATTGCATTGTTACGAAAAACATACTAAACATCCAGCGTGTTTGATGGAGTTTATAAATAGTACAATGGCGTTGGAAGAACAGGAAGATTATGCTCGAGATAAGACAGAAGAGAAAAAGAGTCTGGAGAAGACGGGTAGCACTTTGGAGATGAATGTGGAAATAAATGTCTCAGGAGATATGGTAGAAAATTCCAGTGGTAAGAAGCAGGAAGATTTCGAAGAAAGATCTTTTCAAGAGGGTGAACAAGATTCCATTGAGAAATTGGAAGGAAAGAAAATCCAATTGATGGCAGTTGCAGAAACAGTTGAAGAGAAGAAAAACAAATTAGAAGAATCTGTTATTGAAATCAGCTCTTCAGATGAAACAAAATTAAATATCACAGTAGAAGATTCTGATTGTGGAGAGAAGGAAAAGACTGAAGGAGAAACAACAAAAGACCTCAAAGACAAGAGTAAAAATGAAATAGAAGATCTTCCAGAAAACCCAAATACAAGAACAGATACCTTGATATCAAAAGTAGATGAAGACCAAAACAAAGAAGTTTTGACTTGCATGGAGAACATACTTGCCAATATTGGGAATGCAGAAAATACTACAACAAATAATGGTGCTAATGACTACATTTTACACACTGATAAGTTTAATGGTCACAAATTTTCAAATCCATTTTCTACGCTTATTGTACAACTTAATTCCACCCAGTTATTAGTTAAAGATGCCTTTGAAGGCACACTTGATGATGTAGATATATATTTAGAAAAATATGGAGTTCGTACTCTTAACATGGATTCTCTTACTCCTAGACAGTTCTCATTGTTCATGAAAAAGTTCGGAAGTAATTTACAGCAAATTGCAGCATGATTATCTCCTAAACATGTATCTTGACTATATTGCTGGTAAGGTTTCTACTTTTTGTTTTTTATGTACTATATGTATAGTTATTGAAAGTTGTGGGCATTTTTGTTTTTAGACTTTGTCATACAATTTTTAATGTTGTCTACAGAAGAATTCAGAAAAAAATCAAAGCAAAAGACTTTTAATTCCTGTTATTTAAATCAATAATAGTTCAAGGTTTTGTCATAAAAAATGCCTGTAAACCATTAATAAACAAATCTAGATTTTTGTTATGAAAATGTAAAAGTACAGTTCTTCCTTTATTGGTAATTCACAGGAAAATAATGTTAATTAGTGGGCCTGCCAACCCTCTGTATGTGTCCTAGACACTATTCACCCAGTCTTCTTTCTTTTGTCCGTCCTTCTATCAGCACCTTCTGTGTTTTTCAATAATTAAATTTGTTCTTATTTTCATAACTCTTAATGTTCTGAAATAAAGTTTGCTATCATGTTTGACCATTTCGGATTTGTTGTACCATAGTTACATGTACATGTAGGTACAGAGTTAGTATCAGAATTTCTGAAAAGGTCTGTCATTCTCTTCATAAATCAAATTAGCGTTTATGGATTTTCATAATTTTTATACAGTTTTGAGATTGGGGATTTGATGCTCCTATTTATTATTAAGAGTTTTAGGTTCATCTTTAAGCAATAGGATTCTTAATTGTCAAAATTATGAGGGTTTATTCATTCTTTCGTATACATATAGATGGCTTTTTATGCAAAATGTAAATTGTGTCTTTATGTTTCTTTTTTTGTTTATATTCTTTTCCGCCTCATTAGGATCCTAGTTTTCTCTTGTTGAATTTTCCATACATGTCTATTCTATAATTTCCTTACACATTCTTCATACTCACCTTACACTTGCTTTAAACTGTGTTTTTATCACAAGGTTTTTATGGGGTTTTGGTAGTGCTGATTTATTAATGGTTAAGGTGTGATGGTATTATTTTGTAATTTTATAACACATGGTTGTTATCAAAAACAGCAAAGGTTAACAAAACTGAGTGTACAAAACAAGTAGCAGACAGTTAATAGTATATTCTTTGTTATCTTCTAGTTTTTACAGTGTGAGCCTCTCTTTACAGAAGTCTATCAAGGAACATCTAGTGTGCATTCTGTTGTTTTTTATGTACACCGATTAAAGTCATGATAAACTAGCAAATGGCCACACCAATGCAAGATCTGCAGGTTTGTGTAACTATTTTCAGTTTCCAAACAAACATTTTGCTGCGAAATATTTCCTTCTCACCAAACATAACTTTTTAGGTATAATTTGAGATACATGATGCATTGTAGATTTATTTCCAAAACCAATTTTCATATTAAATTATCAAGGTATTGTGTTTTTGTTAAGTGCTGAAAAATCTTAAAGATTTATTAGGCTTTAAGATTGGTTCTTGTTGCTATATAAGCAGAAAGTTTTGGATGAATTACTTTGTAATTATGGCAACAATCAGTGAATTGATTATCTTCTTTTTAAAATGTTTATATTCAGCTGAACAACACAAAAATATTGTAAAATTTTGAAAATAGGAAATTCTTTAAGGCATGCAAACTATGCAGCCTCTGATTGTCATAACTAAAACTGTCCTAAATGTACAATATCAACATGAATTTAAGGCATATTCATACATGCTTGATACTGTTTACAAAGTTAAGTTTACTCAATACAACTGAAGTTTTAAATTTTTGTACTAACATCCTGTACCACATCCAATGGTCACAAATGGGATAAATACCTAATACCTAAAAGAAATTGATCACAAATCATTTAATTAAACAGATTCTCTAGTTGTATAATTTAATATAAATTATCTCCCTTATTGTCAGTTATGTTATACTGAAATTATCTCCCTTATTGTCAGTAATTGTAATATCTGAGTTATCTCCGTTATTGTATTAGTTGGTTTATCTTCCTTATTGTCAGTAATTGTAATATCTGAGTTATCTCCGTTATTGTCAGTTATTGTATTAGTTGGTTTATCTTCCTTATTGTCAGTAATTTTAATATCTGAGTTATCTCCATTATTGTCAGTTATTGTATTAGTTGGTTTATCTCCCTTATTGTCAGTTATTGTAGTAGTTGATTTATCTCCCCTATTAATTCATAACATGGTTTGTTAAATTTTTATTAATATATATTTCTCATCTTGCAAATTTTACTGTTGTCATTATTAAAAAGTAAAATAACAAAAATACTGAACTCCGAGGAAAATTCAAAAAGGAAAGTCCCCAATCAAATGGCAAAATCAAAAGTTCAAACACATCAAACGAATGGATAACAACTGTCATGACTTAAATGACTTAAGATATATTAAAATCCCATCATACAAACAAGAACTGTTCCCAAAATTTACATGCAAGTAATAAATGAAAACAAAATGATGTTAATACAAATTATTTGAAAAAAAATATCAATGACAGTGTGGTTAAGCAAAAGGGATATGATTAAAACTTATCTTTCAAATACCTCATCTTGTTTTACAAGTTTTGTCACAAAATTAATACAATCGTTGATTCCTCTTAATAGTTTTTTCATAGTGTCATCCATAATAACATATAAAGCATAATATGATAATATGATAACATACATTCAATTTTCCTCAAATTTGAATGATTTTGGGTCAACCCTATGACACAAATAGTTAGTACCTTTCTTTGTCGGCTATAAAAGCACAAAACTGTAGATGTATTTAGTAATTTTTGTACCTTGTCATTATGTGTTTTTGTGGAAATGTAGAAGAAATACAAAGCGCAAACTGATTAATAACAATTATGAAAGTTTTTGTATTATTTGAACATTGTACTAAAGACATTAAAAAAAAAGAAAATCAATGAAAATGGGACATAATGAATTTTGAAGGTGTATATTTTCATTTATTTGTCTCAAAAATGAATTGTTAAAAAGGAAAAAATGTCCATGTGATTTTTTAATTCCATTTTTATTAGAAACTGGATTAATAAATTTTGCTAAGTACCAATTTTTGTGGATTGAGGAAAAAATATACTGTTAACTATACTTGTTCTTTGCAGTTTACATTACATTCTGCATTAAAAGTCTATAGTAAAATTGCATTTTGTTGAACACTAAAATGTATGCTTAAACTCTACCCACAAAAATAAGTACCCCATGAATATTAATAATCCCCAGTACATATGACAGACCTGTTTGTATAGTGCTACATAGATTTATATGAACTATATTCCATTGTTTATCTTATAGAGTTCTTTATATTTTGTTGTACAGATTTTGTTTGTTTACTAATGTTGATTTCTGTCGTGATTTTATTTTGTTGAATCATGTTATATAAGGTTAAAATGTTTTCCTAATGTTTTGTTTTTCATTGACAAGCTTGATATTAATTTAAGCAGATGTTTAAATTTCGAATGTATTTAATACGTTGCAATTATTATTCAAAAGTAGCCGATTTTCATCTCATGTTTTTATTAGTAAGAACGAAATTTTACAAGCCTCTGATTAATTTATCGTACAAATTTTGATCCATAGTTACTGTCACAATTTGCACAGTCCATCTTCTTGTCAATCTGACAAGTTAAGATATTGTCTGAAATACTTGAAATTTAAGATTTGTAAGGTTAATGATAACTGAAATCTTAATTTCCCCAGAATTGATAATCCAATAAGAAGTGATTAAATCAAAAGCATCACACTTTAGTACATCAAGAAATGAAATGTTCTACTACAGTTTTTGACTTTTGAGAGATTTGTGCATTCATTGTGCAAGTTCTTTTGTTAACCCTTTATAGGCCAATTAAGTTTGAATATATGGATTTATGAAAGAAAACCAATCTTACATTTATAAAAAAAACTCTAGATAAGGGCATATTTTTAGGTGAGAGATTTATTAACTTTTGCACACTGTGCTTCATTGTGTGATATCAGTATTCCCTAGAAACTTCATTATCATTGGGATATTTTTGTGTTAAAATGAACAGAAAGAATGGGGATATTTATAGTGTTCATCAGCTCAAGTTGATATCAAGCTCATTACTTAAAAATGGCATGTTTCTCATTACTGTGAGAAAATATTTAGACTATAAATTTTTATATGTTAATGTTCTGAAAATTATTATGGTCACACATTTATCCGATTTTTAGAAAGATCATGTTTTTTTTTAAATTCTTGTGAATGGTTATTATAATTTGTAAGTATATGTTTTGAAAAATGTACAATAGAAATAAAACAAATGAGGAAAAACAGACCTATTGTATGTATTACACTTGTCAGAACCTAAAAAATGAAGAGACGTTTTTGGCAGAAAATAAAATAAGAAAATTTTTGGCAACAGGAACTTATAAAAAACTTTTTTTTATGCTAAAAATGCTTGAGGGAAGTAAGTTGTATATAAGAGGAAAATGAATTAATAGTGTAAACTATTTTATAGGCACTTTAGAACAGGCCATCTTTGCGGGACATGATGATTTTACTTGGAACAGTTCTGAAAAAATGTATTTACAATTTGCTTTTAATCCAGCAACAAATTAACCAAATGTTGAAAAAGTTTATATATAAAGTTATTCTAGAAGGATCAGTGCTATCACATTCTACTTATTCCAACTATTAAAACGATGATGAAAAGTTCTGGAATAAGTTTCCAGTTACTCCACTAAATGTATGGGTAGGAGAATTACTGTCAATCCACTGGATGTATGGGTAGCAGAAACAATACTGTTAATCCTTGTTCATATGTTCTAAATAGATGTTAATTGTGTCATTCTTTTGTTGTAGCTTTGTGAGCATCAAAAAGGGGTTTTTGTAAGTTGTGATGTTATATATGTCTACAAATGGTAATAAAACTATGCATATTCAAAATACTTTCTTAAGGCCATAATTTGTGACTGTATTGATGTCTCAGAATAATCAGTGGATGATTTCTGGAGAATTACTTCTGTTAAATTGCCTTACGATTGGAAGATCAAAAGTCCACAAAATATCAACAAATAATCGAAAGTTTGACATTTGGTATAGACGTCTATTGTTTAATACTACATGCTGACCTCTTTAACAGCATTGGATCTAGGGTCGAAGGAAAGGGAGGTCATAATTGTCATAAATGGTAGAAATACTGCAGAGTGTAGCAAAGGCAACATAATTTGATGAGTCAAAGCAAGCAAGCAATATTGTTCACTTCAATATTTCCACTTACCTGCCTCCTTAACTAGTTGCAATTTCCCTCTACTTCCCCATACCTTCGTCGAGTTTTTTTTATTATAAATACGGTAATACCTCCAGTTATCTCCCTTGCGTAACTCTTCAGTTTCTCTCGGAGGCCGCCATTAAAGCACATGCGTTGCTTTCCCCGTACGCTTATTTGGATAATTAGAATTTGAATCGTAAGATGGAGAAACAGGAAGATAAGTTTAAGAAGTGTGTAAGGTGTCTGGACAAGATGAACACTGGATGAGCACGATGAATGTTACAAACATCGTATTTGTAACGAGTCATTCCCATGCAAAATTTGCAAAAATTGGTCAAAGGAGCATCAGAGTTGTTCAGAAGACAATTAAATTGAATAAACTGTCTCAACCAGCCTGTGTAGACGGGTTGACAGATTTCAAAGACATAAGTCCACCTGTGGAGGCGGCAGTCAGAGCTTCAAAGGACGACACTGTCACTGAAAATACACCTGACAACAGCACTTGTATAGTCGATATTTCGGCCATTGTACAAGAACAGGTACAATTACAAATACAAAACTTATTCAAAAAGAAATTGATTGATATCAATGCTAATGTTCTTGAAGTTCAACCTCCTGGAAAGCCTAGTTCTGCAACTTTGCAAAACCAAAGGCCACATTTTGACAAATTCAAAAGCTATGACGATCAGATGTCTTTAATGACGAATGTTGATCAAGATCAGGTTTCTTATCTTGATCCAGAAGAAAAGATTGATGATGGGTCTGCATCGCCACGATCTAGTCAAATGATTACCACAAGGGGCACCTGGTGCTTCTGATCCAATTGAGTGGGTTTCATTTATTCATAAAATGGCAACAGTTCTCAATATAGAACCTGAATCTTCAGAGAATCAAGATCAGGAACGTCCTTCTTTTGTTTCGGCAAGATTAAAACCTGACAAGAATGATAAAAAATCAGCAATTAAATTACCTTTGGAAGGTACAATTATTGACATGGTAAAATCTGTAAAAAAGGAAGATATCTCTGGTCATTTGAAAAACAGCTGTTCGTGGCAGGGATAAGGCTTTTATGGTTAAGAAAGATGATTTTAATGCTTTCTGTAGTCCTAAGTTAGATGACAATATTGAGGAAGGGCTAGCTATTGGTCATAAAGGCAATTCTTTTAAATCTGGAATTAATATTCCACCTTTTCACAGAGAATTAGATAATGATTTTCGTCGTATGGACAATTCTGCCAGGGCACTTTTTAGAGCAGTTTCATATGGTACTATTTCTGCCTTTTTGGATGAGGCAACTTTTGAAGATGATAGGATTGAAGGACGTTAATAGATATAGGAAGATGTGGTATGAGTGCCAATGAGACAACTCTCCATCCAAGTTACAATTTATAAAAGTAAACCATTATAGGTCAAGGTACGGCCTTCAACACGGAGCATTGGCTCACACCGAACAGCAAGCTATAAAGGGCCCCAAAAATTACTAGTGTAAAACCATTCAAACGGGAAACGGTCTTATCTATATAAAAACGAGAAATGAGAAACACGTATGAACTACATAAACAGACGACAACTACTGTAATCAGATTCCTGACTTAGGACAGGTGCAAACATTTGCAGCGGGATTAAACGTTTTAATGGTACCAAACCTTCTCCCTTTTCTGAAACAATAGTATAACATCACAACATAGAAAAACACACTATAAAATATCATTAATTAATTGCTTTAGAAGTATGGCTGATTTATCAGGCAGAATCATGGTAAATTCAGTATTAAGTAGAAGGAAACTTTTTCTGAAAAATGTTAGCTTCATTAGTAAGTCCACAGAAAAGAAGTTGTTAAAGTTACTGTGTTTGGCAGTCACATTTTTAATGGAAAATACTTTGACACACTGCATACATCAGCAGAAAATTTAGGGGATGCTAGAGAGACCCAGAATGTTTTTAATAATACTGGTAGTTATAGCAAGAACTTTAACAAGTCTAGAGATGATCGCACTCCTGTAAATGACTTTAACAAGAGGAAAGGTGACTATTCTGACAATTCTGAACATGGAGCTAAAGTTGGCAGAACAAACACTTACTCCAACAAAGATAATTTTCGTCCAGGAAATTTTTCAAGGAAAGGAAATTGTTTTCGGAAAGCAGCTGGGAACCCAAAAGGTTTCCCAGCTCCAAGGAAGTAAGTTCAAAGAACCTTGAACAAACTGTAAATATAAGTCCCCAGGTAGGGGCACGTTTGCTAATGTTTCACAGAAAGTGGACAAAGATCACAGGAGATCAATATGTTTTAGAAACTTTACTAGAAGGACTTAAACTGGAGTTTATGAGTCATCCATGTTTAAACATAAAAGAGACGAGTGTTCCAAGATATGGTATTCACGAGTCGGTAATTTTAACAGAAATAAGTGTTTTATTAGAAAAAAATGTTATAGAACATGTTCCTGTTGGGCAAGAAAACTTGGGTTATTACAGCACAGTTTTCGTAGTTCCGAAACGACAAGGAGGTCTGCGACCGATTCTCAATCTGAAACCTCTGAACCAATTAGTAGTGCCTCATCATTTCAAGATGGAAACTCTCCGTTCAATTATGAAAGCTTTAAAAAAGGGAGACTATGCAGTAACTTTGGATTTAGCAGATGCATATTTTCATATTCCAATTCACACAGATTTCAAACAATTCGTGAGATTCCGATTTCTAGGTCACAGCTACCAATTTCGAGCAATGCAATTTGGGCTCAAATCTGCCCCAAGAGTGTTCACAATGATCATGGCTGTATTGGCAGCATACCTAAGAAAGTTAAAGATTCAGATATTCATGTATCTAGACGATTGGCTGATCAGCAATTCAGACAGAACAGTTCTTGTAAAGCAAATGCATTTTGTACTCAGTCTAGTTCAAGATTTGGGACTTCCGGTAAATCAGAAAAAGTCAAACTTAATACCAACCCAACATATAGAATACTTGGGAGCCCTATTCAATCTAGAGAAAGGGATAGTAACACCAACAGAGACAAGATTTCAAAGTATTTTGGAAATAATACATGCATTACTAAAAAGTCAACAGATTCAAGCAGTAGTAATTTTAAAATTACTAGGTCTGATGGCTTCATGCATTTACCTAATACCAATGGGAATATTACACATGAGGCCAATCCAACTTTATTTGTTAGCACTATGTAGGCCAAACATCCAGCCATTGAATCAGTTCATTCCTGTACGAATGAGCTTGACAGTACATTTAAAATGGTGGACAAATCGGACAAATATTTTCAAAGGAATGCCTGTAAAGGAGCCGACAATTCAATTGACATTGATCACAGATGCTTCAGAACTAGGATGGGGAGCTCATCTAGAAACTTGGCAGACATCAGGAATATGGCCAAAGTCTTACCAACTAAAACATATAAATTGGTTGGAATTGAAGGCTGTACAGTTAACTCTTCATGAAGCTGTACAGATCGTGAAAGACATGAATATTTTGATAAGGTCGGACAATACAACAGTGATAAGTTATAACAACAACCAGGGCGAAACCCATTCGCCAGAACTGTGTTACCTAACTTGGGACCTTTACCAATGGTGTATTCAGAACAATGTAACTATCCGTGCAGTTCACATTCCGGGAAAGATAAATCTACTAGCAGATGCTCTTTCGAGGGGGAAAATCTTTTCAAGATGACAGAGTGGACACTCAACACTATGATAGTAAATATGATATTTCAGAAACTGGGAACTCAAAGTATAGATCTGTTTGCAACAGCTCAAAACAAAAAGTTGGCAGTCTATTGCTCTCCGGTTCCAGACATAGCAGCATTTCAAGTAGATGCTCTAACTGTAAATTGGAGCGGCATGTATGCATATGCATTTCCTCCTCCAATCCTTGTTCCTCGGATATTACAAAAGATTTGAGAAGAAAAGACAGTTGTTCTTCTAATAGCACCAATGTGGCCAAGACAATCTTGGTATCCTCAGATGTTGGATCTACTGATAGATATTCCAATAAAACTACTTGTACCTCTTTTGCCAGATCTGCTTTCACAAATTCACAATCGAATACAAATATTTCATCAGAGTCCAGAAACATTGAATCTTGTGGCATGGAAATTATCATATTGCGCCATAAGTCAAAAGGATTTTCTGAAAAAACTGCAGAAATTATGACAAATGTCAGAAAAACATCTACTCAAACAGTGTATGATGCAAGACTCAGAATATATGACAGTTGGTGTAAAGAACAGAATATCAATTCCACTTCTTCAACTGTACCAGAAGTAGCAGAATTTTTGTTATATCTTTCTACTGTAAGAAAATGCAAACCACAGACTATTACAAGTTACAAGTCAGCCATATCATTGATTCAAAATAATGGATTAGAAATTTCAAACAGTTCTGAGTTATCTCCATTGATTAAAGGTTTATTTAATATGAATCCACCAATTCGTTAATTGACCCAAAATTGGAATTTACCTTTAGTTTTATTGATGCTAACAAAACATCCTTTTGAACCTTTAGATTCAGTTGAATTAAAGTTTTTAACATTAAAAACAGCTTTTCTAGTAGCTATTGCATCAGCCAGTAGAGTTAGTGAAATTCACAGCTTATCATTAGATGATGGACATTTTAGATTTGAAAAAAAACGGAATTAAACTATTACCAAATATGCAGTTTCTTGCAA